AGTGTGCCCAGGTGGCCAAGGCGGCCAACACGGTCCTGGCCTGTAACAGAAATAGTGGGGCCAGCAGGAGTAGAGAAGTGATTGTACCCCTGTACTCAGCACTGGTGAGGCCGCACCTCAAATCCTGTGTTCAGTTTTGGGCCCCTCACTACAAGAAGGATGCTGAGGTGCTGGAGTGTGTCCAGAGAAGGGTAACAAAGCTGGTGAGGGGTGTGGAGCACAAATCTTATGAGGAGCGGCTGAGGGAACTGGGGTTGTTCAGTCTGGAGAAGAGGAGGCTGAGGGGAGACCCTATCGCTCTCTACAACTACCTTAAAGGGGGTTGTGGCGACGTGGGTGTTGGTCTCTTCTCCCAAGTAACTAGCGATAGGATGAGAAGAAATGGCTTCAAGTTGCACCAGGGGAGGTTTACATAGGATATTAGGAAAAATTTCTTCACCGAGAGGGTGATCAAGCATTGGAACAGGCTGCCCAGGGAGGCGGTAGACTCGCCATCTCTGGAAGTGTTCAAAAAATGTGTGGAAGTGGTGCTGCAGGACATGGTTTAGGGGACATCGTGGTGCTGGATTAATGGTTGGACTTGATGATCTTGAAGGTTCTTTCCAACCTTAGTGATTCTGTATCCTAAATTGCTTCCTCTCCCATCGTATCTTAATCTATAATCTCAGCAGATTATGTGGTGTAAAAAGGCAACAATGCTTCTTAGATGGCATGTGGAACCACCACTTACTAAACATCTTACAGAAGAGCACTGAAACACTTTATTGTATTTTACCCTTCTAGAAACCATCTTCAAGTAATGCTTTTTACTCTTATCTGCATGGTCTTGCATCCCAAGCCATGAATTCTTGCAAAAATCAAGATGAACTCTATTTTCAGGAAGAACCCTCATTCTTTCCCTTTCCCACTATCGCATCCCTTTACTCAGAACTGAAGAGATCAGTTTGTGTGGGGTGTTTGTTTGGTTTTGTTGTTGTTTTGTTTTGGGGTTTTTGTTTTGTTTTGGTTTGTTTGTTTGTTTTAATTTTAATTTACCTGACCAAGATTGTTCTCATTTCCTCATCACTTACCGTTTTTGTAGAAATGAGCCTTAACTGCCTTGACCTTGAAAACAAAGGTAGATTTACTATGCTCTTCCTTACTATCCCCTACAGAAAAATACACTCACAGATGTGTTGCTCCTGTCATCTTTTCCAGGTAACTTAGAAGTGGAGCTATTCATCTGGTCTGGTACATAGATTCAGCGGTGGGGGTGGGGATCACTTTGAGGCACAGAAAGTGGAAGTGCCCCCCAACAATGCCACATCATTGGACAGATGTAGCTTTCAAAAGCAGAGTGAAGTTATTTATTCACAAGCACAGTGCTCTCATGTTGGCACAACCAGGACTTTAGAAACGGAAGATAAACTGTTGCTTTCCTCTGTAAACCCTCCTCTGTTCAGGAAGGCTTCTACCAATACAAGCAGATGGTACAAAAAGACAGGACTGATTTGGCAACTGCCTCACATCAGTAAAGGCTTGTATTTATCATCAGCAAAACCACAACCAAATACACAATAAGAACAGAAATTCTTGAGACTATAGTCAAAGCCAGTGTAATGTTATACTTACTTGCCGATGTCATCTTGATCAGCAAACTTCTCATCGTTGAAGCCAAACTGGTCAATAAAATTGGACGTCATTTGTTGCATCTGATAATCAGAAAAGGCCTGGCAACCCCAGGACCAATGACAGTGATATAATGATTCTACTAATACTCTAAATCCTATTTGCCCATTTTTCTCCAAAGAAATAAAAAGTCTCTAATCTAAACATAAAGGACATAAAAAGGATCTGTCTTAAACTTTTAATTTTAAATGGTAGCCCCGAGTACACACTTACTTATGTTTATTGACTTTAAAGACAGTCTAATAGCAGTTCTCAATAAGAAAGTTAAATCTCTAGTTTAACCACGTGTTAATCAGCACCCTTCCAAATGCACCTCAAAGAAACAGTGAAACAACACAGTATACTAGATAAAGAAAAAGCTGTCTTTGTTCAAAATAACATGAAGTTATACATGTAAGAACCAGAAATGTACATTATAGTAAACAGTAGTAGTAAAGTAGATAGTAAAGCACAGTTGCTTATTTATCATGTAGTATATCAGTCTCAGGCACACACACCAGCAGCATCTATTCAAAATCTAGAAGAAGGAAATTATTGAACATTTTACATCTCAATGCAGTGTCACTGACTCAACTGTGCTTTTCTTTTTCTTCTTTTTTAAAATAATGATGCCAGTGGCAACTGCCAGCAGATGGGTATATACACATTAAGGTACACATGGGCATTTTCTACTATCCATAACAATAGTTTTTGTTCCTTATTTCCCAGGGCTATAATTAAATTACCACACATTCTCTAGGGGCTTTCAATTGTGCTATTTCCATGTGTGAAGTCAGCCAATGCCAAGATATTCTAGGAAATATAGCTGTCACGTCAACTCTCTTGGCTTCTTGCTCAGGTAGCTAAAGGGACTGAGTATACAGACAAAACCTTTGAAGAAGGTGGTAAAGCTGAACAAAGTGAACACGGAAAGAAAACAAGAGAATGGTCAAAAAAGCAAGTTTGGATTAAGGCATTATGAAAACTGGGGGAAAAAGAAAGGAGATATAGAAGGATGAGGTATACAGCAAGACACTATCAGGGCTCGAAGTGGGTCTGGACAACCCTCATGACTGGTAGGGCCACTATGCTAAGCCAGGCCAAAGCAAGAACTCTCTTTACATTTTGATCCTAATTTTAAAATCTGATAGTTCTGAAAAACTTCAGTATTTAATACTACCGCAATTAGTGTATCAACATTATACAGGTAGATAATTAATTATTTACTGTCCTCTCTATAAAATAATTACTCTGCTTTACATTGGTTACTAAGCCCTCCTTTCCTGTAAAGTATTTTCACTATTATGTATATTAAAAAGCGCATGTGACAAAGACATTAGTGAATTACCAGTATGGGGGGAAAAAAAAAGTTAAACAGGCTTGTTTGTTTTACAAAAGGTGCAACCATTAAGAACACCACACACCAGGATAAACAGGAAATTAAGACATCATGTTTATGACATGAGCTAGTTATGAAACTAGTGTGAAATCTTATCACTACATCAAAATTCTCTACCAAGTGTATTAAATGCAGTTATAAACTCCTAGCATATTTCAGACCGTAGACAGTTCTGTCCTGTTCACTAACGTCTTTTCAGTATGCTTAAGAGAGACAAAAAGTGGTTCTTTAGTATTTTACTCCCTTATCCAATTCCTAATGGGTCCACTTGAATTTTGGAAATTTACCTCCTTTTTCCTCATTTAACTATTGGTCTAGAATAGTGTATTCTAGCTGAAGCCAGAGAGACCTTTGTTAATGAATTCGCACAGCTGGAAAATGCTTTAAGTAATTTCAATGCATTTCCCATCAATGATTTATCTCATCTAGTATCATGCTTTCCTCACAAGACCACTTTAGAAAGTATACTTCACTAGCTTAGCTTAGGAAAAAAAAAAAAGATTAAGAAAATGGTGACAAACTTGAAACAGCACTGCACCATCTGCATTTCTTCAGATTAACTACCGGGAACTGCTGGGATTGCTTAGGCACAGCAGGTCACTATGGGGATGCATGAAAAATGCAGAGAGGTTTTAAGACCTTACTGTCTCACTGAGATGGCACCCAACTCATCAAATTTCTATTCAGGCGAATCCTACATGTACAAAATCACTGAATCAGATAAAAATGCATCAGATTCTTAAAACTGGAGCCACCACCCACAATTCAAACTTAGACAAGCAATTACTTACTATAAAAAGTATAAGAGGATGCATAAAGCAACAAAGCCAGCCTTAGACTAGGTAGTTACTACATAGCCATTAGTATGAGCTGAAAGATTTTGGTTAATAACCCAGATAAGTAATGTTTTCTGTATAAGGGATCTATAAGCAGTCTTGTGCTGCATGGCTCCTGCTCTTTCACCGTCAGTGAAAGAGTTGAAAGAGATGTATATTGCAGATAGGACAGGAGTATTACAGAAATGCTGTCATTCTTCATCAAAATGGCACCAATGTTCTCTATAACCACTCATCGCAAAAATACTCTAATACCAAAACCGTATTAAACACTGTATCCTTATCAATTAGTCAGCTATGAAAGCATTAAAACTTCAGGGTGGACACAGCTTTGACTTAGGCTTTCAGCCAGGTTGATCTGAAAATTCCCTAAGCATTTTCAATTTTATTTTTTTTTTCACTAAACCAAAGGATAAATAATTATCTTTGAAACACACACAAATGAGATGTCAAAAGCACATACTGAACTTAAAAATAAGTGATCAAGTTCATTGTAAATTTAGTTCAGGAAGATTTGGCTACATACACTTGCCAGGTATCAACAGTCTATAAAGTTAAAAACATTGAAGCTGGTAGATACAGCCCGTTACAGAAGCATACTTAGCTCTTCATTTATATTGTGACAGCTGCGAGGTTTGACATTTTGCCAAAAACTAGAAGCACATTAACAATAAATAGCTAATCCTCCTTGTTTCCTCATCAAAATAAGGGTCAACATTTAGGAAAAAAAAAATCTATTGGCAAAACCAAACAGAAATCCGCATTTGCTTTCATAGAAATTCACACTTGCCAGAAAACACAATTAGAAGCCACCATTTCAAATTTCAACTTTAGTTCTTACTAGATGTAAACACAGAAACTGTGTTCACTGCCATATAAAATATGTCCTTAGGCATAATGAATTGACATCTGCATACACAGCATGATCAAAGACTAAAAACTGGAAGGCACACCAAGATTATATGACTTGTGTTAAAAACCATACCTCTGGGTTTGATAGAACAGTTGTGTGCATGCACACATGCCTAAGTTTTATTCTAAACAAACTTTCTAGGTTTGTATTTGCTTGTGATAGAAATACAAGTTCCCCTGCTTTTTTAAAATTTCTTCTTTATTTTTACAGAAAGAGCAACTTATGCTGTTAAAAGAATTCAACTCACCTGCTGCAAAGAAGAATCCTGTGAGAAGCCAGTTTCTTTAAAGTCAATTTCATCATCACTGGAAGAATGAATGTGGCAGGTAGTAACCTATATAAAGGAATTAAGTAATTTGTGGGTTATATGACAGCCACTCAAGTACACTCACACTATCTGTCTGAATCTTCAGCTTCATATCAAAGCAAGAAACTGAATTATTTTTACTTTTCCCAACTGCTATACCACATAAAACAGTCCCTAAAATATTTCAATAGCACTAACACATACATGAGTATTAGATAACCCAAAAAAGCCAAGGCTTTTCAGTACTTCAGTATGACTATCTAACGTTAAAAAGCCAGTTCTACAGCTGACAGTTATCTAAAACAAAATGAGACAAAACTTGCATCTTGTCTTTGTACTGCATGAAATATATTGACAGTAAGTGAATTAGTAGTCACCAAAATACTAGAATATATAGAGAGATTCTTCTCTTTTCCTAATACATAAAAATTAAAGGGAAACTGTCTTAGGTATCTACAGTATTTACAAAGAGACAAAAGAATTAAAACTTCAAAAAACTTCAACTACAGATTAAAAATTTCTAACCAGTGTGTACTTGCAGAAGCAAACACGGAGCTGTTGCCACAACAGCTGCTGTTTTAAATATTACCCTTGAAAGAAGCGATTTTTTTGATGATCTGACATAGAACAAGTGGGATTAGTTTGTTCAGTTACACTTAGCTAAGCAACGTATTCTTGGAAGTACTCATCTTTGACCAGAACAGCACTCCAAAAGCAATTTCAGCTGGGACAGCAATTAGCTAAAGTAACAGTAGCAACAGCTGACCCTTAAGACATAATCTATGAAATGTCACTAGTATAAAGCAAATTTACAGATGACAGAATTTATACTGGACTATTCTACACACCCCTAGAACGCCATGTTACAGATTCTCAAGTTAAGTCAGGTGGTTCATGGATTCTTTTTATTTTTTGACGAAAATATAAGTCTATACAAAAGGAGTACTTAAACACGTAGAAGAATTCATACAAGACAGACATCTTTCTATGCTCCTGCAAATATCACAGGTCAATGCTACAGTCAGGACACGTGCAAGAGAGAAATGAAGTTGTTACTGAAGCATATTGTGCTTTTATGCTTTTTCCTCTGTTAGTATAACATGTATTTAAAAAATAATTGGGAGTACTGTATTCTTGCACATCTACCATTCAACCCCACACTGCAATCTGCATAATAGAAGCACCCTGACTTCAAGTTAAGTGAATTTCTGAAGGAAACCTGACCTATCAACACAAATCCATCATTAAGTGGGAAGAACAGTAATGCACCAAATTATCTCTGAGCTTGTGTCTGGAGAACTGTTACATGAAATGACAGACCAAGTCCATTGAAGGTTGGTGCTCACTGTATACTTATGAAAATACTCTTGTGAAGTCTGCACGCTTCAAGGTAATTACATGGCATTCTATACCACAACCTGAGCTGCCCTAGGTACTGCCCCCATCATGTGGGCACATGTTGAGACGACAAAAGTTAATATACCTACTCCTTCTACAGCTGCAATTTGTTGGGGGAAAAGACACCCAAAACCAAGTAAGAAGTTGTTTATTTAGTTTTAGTTACTAATAACCAACATGTTAATCCCTAGTAGAAATTCTGCCCTTACTGCTGTAACAAGGAAGCTCAGGACTCTTAGCTAGACATAGTATCTTCTACCCCAAACTCTCGCTTTGGAGAACCACAGTTGTGTTATTCAGGTCAGGAACTGAGTGCTTAACTATTATATCATCCCTGACTACATTCTGCTCAAGAGCTTGCTTAGGACAGGAAAACCCAAACCAAGTCAGTCAGTCAACTCATCCACCCAGTAATAAATATAAGGATAATCCATAGAAAATTAAGAAAGGTGTGCACGGAAAATCTGCGCTTTAAATCAGGTATATAATTTTTCAGGTATAAACACTAGTCCTGATAAGCTGTTGTTTTAACCCAGGATGCTTTCATCAACTTACAGAAGACCTCAAACACTCAAACATACCAAACTGTTCAGGTTTATAGATAGAGAGGACAGGCCGATGGAGACCAAAGCACAGATCAAAAGCATGGATATTAGATGACGGTACGACTGGGAAGAAATACTGTGGGGCTGTGCTTTCAGGATACACCCCTAACAATAACTATAACTTAAACTTGACTCAGTAAAACAAGCAGCTGAGTTTTCTGAGATGTCTTTTAATATCTCCTACACTACACTGTACTGTCCATTACTGCTTATCTTTGAACTAAGTGTTAATCTAAGACTGATGAGAATTGATCACACAAGCAGAAACAAAAGCCTGCAACTTCAGAAATTCAAAGACACAGTATTTTCCAGATGGCATTTTAGACACAAGAATTTGTTTTAATGCTTCGTATTCATATTCAACTGGATATTGTGGAGTTTGGAGATATGTTTTCAACAAGTTTTTACTTTTGTTACATTAAGTACGTCCAAGTAAATGATTACGTATCTAAAGAGCTAATTACAATGTTATTAATTATAAAGCAGCTTAAAATTCTGCCTCTTTAGATGACTCTTGTCTTGGCCTCGACCAAGAAGTAGCTTCTAACAAGAGGAAAATATCATTATTCTACCAGCACTATGAACTTCTTTGCATTCACAGGCTCATAGGAAAAATACTGTCTATACATCATTTGGTCCCATCCACAAGTTGCACAGTTTCAAATCAGTTTCCTGTTTCTCCTATTGCCACACACATCACATTAGCATTATGTTCCAGTTGCTATATTATGTTGAAATAGCAAATTTAACACACTATTAGTGTTATAGCCCAATTAATATAGCACCAGCACAAGTTAATGAAGCCACATACAAAGCACTGCATTCCTGGAGAAGTCTGATATATTAAAATTCATTAATTGGTCTTTTGACATTAGAAACAGCCTCTGCTTATTAAAGTCTCCAAGTGGTTACTCTTAAACTGTATGTTTAACATGATTACAGAAAACCTCTTCATACTTCTACTTAAGTTTAGTTTTTTTCCAAAAGGGCTATCACTACTGCTGTGCAAAGAAGAAAAATGACAGGTGCACAATGAAAGTATGAAACACTACTTGACTTATGCAAGGTCACTAACACATGAAGTGGGATGCAGGTAGCATTTTCCTATTAAAATTACACAGGTTTATTTACATACTGTAGATAAAGCAATTAACACCAGCTCCTGCAGTTTTAGTTTGCACTCTTTAAGCAGACAGGAACTTCCAAGGACACTAACTTGAAGCTGTAAAGAAATCTTCCTTCTTGGCGATTGTCTGGGATGAGCTATAAAAACTGAGCTACTGCAAGATTCCCATACAAAACATTAATGATATTGCTTTAGCTTAAAAATAAATTAAAGAATTATCAGCTCCATAGCTCAGCAACTAAATGTACTTGTTGATACAAGTACGTGCTAGTTAGGAAGATTGGTAGTGATGCTGACAAAAAGAAACTGGGGCCCAAATAAACAGAAGCAATTTTGATACCTTACCCATCACTACTTACCAGGTCCACTGTATTCCTCTTGTTAGTTTCTCCTAAAGAGCTTGTGCAGAATGTCTCCCATCGCTCTCTGACCTCCTCTGGAAGCTCTAGTATAGGAACCAGGGAAAAAAAAAATGTTTTGGTACTAACGACAATGGAGCATCACTTAATTTTTAATTGTTCTCTTCTGCTCTACCAGAAATACTGCAAAGAACATATACATCTTCCTAAATCCATAAGGATTACGCCATCTAGCAAACAAGTCCAAATTAAGTAAGTCAGCATCTCTTTGCATTTATTTCAGGGAGCTTTGATACTGTTTGAAAAAAAGACTTAGGCATATGTTTAACAGCAGCTGGTTTTAAATTGAAGGTATCAGAAATAATCAGTATTTTCTTCTTTTATCCAACAGCTGCCTTTTAATTTGTTTGATTTGTTTCCTCAGAATTTGATAATGAAAGCCATGAAGACAAACTTAAGACCATTAACATTACCTTTAATGAGCTGTTGGACTAGTGTACTGTTTGGCCCCTTATCTGTACTATGCACAATACAGTTTGCTATCCTTGTCAGATGACCCATATAGCCATGCCGTCTTCCTCCTTCAGCCCTGCAAGAGACAAAAGGAATTCAACTGCCCACACTCAGAGCAACTGTGCTACCATATTTTGTTATAAAACACTGTACCAGAGTCAAGAAGTTACACAAGACAAATAGTGTAGGGGTTCTTAAGCAGAAGAGTTGCACCCTAAAACCAAAGGTTCACAAAAATACTGAAGAACTTAAGATACCAACTGTTTTGACTACACTATGCCTGTTTAGAAGACTTAACAAGCATGTAAGCTACCACAAAGGAAGTATAGAGCATATGACCAGATTATTTGTGCTTTCATGTTTGTGTGTGTAGAAAGAAAAATGTACAGTATAATCAAGATAAAGACAAAATTAAAGATAAAGGCAGATCCACAGGTTTTAGGAGGATTTAGGATTCAAAATCCCAATACACCAAACATTCTCTCACAGCCTTGAGTCCATGACCAAAAGAGAAAAATTCTTAAATCCTAAGTGTGCTCTAGTATTGCAGGGTTTCTTAACATAGAAACATGTTTCTTAGCATACAGAGCTAGAATGGTATGACCACCTGAAATTTAAGTTGGGATCATTGCTTTCCTGAAGTTTAGGAATGTCATTTAATTGCATACCAAAGGTATAGGTGGTGCGAATATTTTTTAAGTATCAGAACTGCTTTGTAGAAACAGGAATTGCCAGTTTTTAGATTAGTGCTTTGAATAGCTATGATCAGCTGGAACCATTCTAGATCTGACCAAAGAGCTAAAGTGAGAGCTTTGACCTGGACTGAATATCTAGCATTTAGCTGCAAGCTAACCAGACATTTGCTGTGTCAGCTTTTTAAGGTTTTATGCTTTTAAAATGGAAAAAAATAAAAAAAAAAAATCAAGAAAGACCCACTCAATTGGCTAGACAAACCTCCCACGAACTTCACTGAAATCTTTGTGAAGTGACAGCAGTTCACAAAGTAGCTGATGCAACTGCATACACAGTAAGCAAACACAAATCACATTACATGATTTTCCACCATCATTATCTAACACGAGGTGACTGAAATTATGTTATGTCAATGCAAGATGTCGTGAATGAAACATTGTTTACAGGAACAACTTCAGAGAGATATTCTGGTCTTATTTCCTCAACTGCTTAGGTAACAAGTATATTCAAAATAAGCAACATGTGATGATGGCAAAGACTATAATTTCTGAGAGGATATGCCATAAAGAGCACTTGTATTTGACAAAGTAGATTGACTTGTCATTGCCTTACTAGATACTAGTAGTATCTTCTGTTAGCAAATGCTTAGTAATTCCAGTGAATCAAATAGGTTTTTATTGTCAGATGTCAGATTTTTACCAGCAGAAAGTAGTCATCCTCAAACTTCTAGAGTTGCTTGAAATAAAATTACGTGACAGAATACAAAAGCATTAAAAAAATCCATTTCCTGAATCAGCTAAGTTAAAAATACCTTTAGATTATCTTAAAGACATATCTTTTATATTTGGAGTCATAACTGTACAAAACTGGATAAAGAGATGAATTACTTACAGTAACAGTCTGCTCATTTCTTGCAAACAAAAAACAATTCTTTCCAGACAAAAGCACAATCTGATGTTTACAACAGTATTTTCCACATTCATATTTGCAAACAGGAGACTAAATATTTAATTAATTCATCCATATGGTAGCACTGGATCAAGAACATTCTTATCCAACCAAAGAATAGTTTTAAGTTGGATATATGGAAATAACTTGCCATACTTCTCTCCTATGAGAGTCCAATTGCTAATAAAGTTGGCAGTTCTCTATAACCTCAGGAGAATACAACAGAAAATAGAAGACATTTGGGAGAGCATGTTTTCTGCAGTTAAATTAAGTCGCATTCCCTTTCTTTGTACCACCCTCTTCACCTACTTTAACACCCTTATTTTAAGGTCAGTTACATTAGCCATATATTTACTATCCAATTCACATCAAATAGGAACAGGAATATTTGTGGGAGTGTAACTGTCTCAAATGATACACCAGCAAACCAGCAACACTACCCCAGTCAGTTAATTCACTATTTTGACAAGTTAAAGCTAACATTTACTGTTCAGTATCTCCTGAGGCAAACTTATGAGCTGTTTTACCACCTCAGGTGAAGACTTAGGTTTTTTTTCTCCAGCAATGAACACAGTTTCAGACAATGTTAGCTACTTGAAACTTCCATCCTTTCACAAACCCATACTTTTAGAAGGTATTCCGTCAATGAGGACTTGGCTTTCACTACTTAGGAGTCTTTCATTTGTTTATAAGTAATTTTCAGTTGCTTACTGGAGAAAAGTATTTCCTGTCCTCTCAAAACTTATGGTATATTTCTGTACTTGAAGATGGGTAGACTTTAAAGATCATAGTAATATCTTATACATGTCAAGAATGACAAACAATAGTATTCTCAAATGGTCATGGGATAAAGCATTAGAATGCTACCAAAAAGTAGTATGAGAGAAAGCTTTAATACAAATATTAACATACAAGCGTTTTTAGAACTGGCCACATGAGTTATGAATTGGTCATACATTCATTTTACAATTCAAGTTTTATGTAGACAATTGCAGGGAATGAGAAAACTAGTTACTCACTGTTTCTTCTCATTCATCTCCCAGGCTTCAAGTATTCGCTCTATTAATTGGCACTTAAGGAATAGCTATCAAAAAAGCAAAATATGCTTAGTAGCAGTAAAGTGGAACACTATTATGCATTTTACAGTTGATTTTAACAAATACTGAAAAAAATAATTTCAGGTTCAGGATAAATACTTTCATTAAGTTCAAAAGCAGCAGTCAGATCTAAACTTGAAAGCTAAGCCTGTATTAATTCTACTTCTCTTTATAGCTGCTGAGTTGTAGTAACATAAAGCTATTGAAATAGCAATTTTAATTCTTAAAAATAAGAGGAACTTCTCCTTCAAGGAAAATCAATACTTGCAGCTCTGCACACATGCTCACTTTGTGGCAGCAAAAATCTACTCTACGGCACATTCAGGTTTAACACACAGAACTGACGTTTTAAGAAAAAAACCGAAAAATATTCCTGTTCATCCTATATATAAATTAAGCAAAATTGAGGTATATTTCATGTAAGACTAACTGCTACGATAGCCTGGAGACAGAAAAATTCAAGGGATTCCCAAAAAAACACAACTTACGTGTTTCAGTAAGAGATTGTCCCCAGTGGAATCCTGATCTGTAATTGTGCCATTTTCTGTGCTTTCAAGAGGACTTGCAAGAATCAATGCAATACAGATTTCTACTTGAGTATGCAAAAAGTTATTCCATGTATACTTAAAGAACATGTCCTGCAAAACAAATTCAACAAGGTTTACACAATACAAGGTCTTTTCATTAAACATAACCAATAGTCTCACCCCAGCAAATCATCTGAATGACTACACAAACAAATTCTTTTAAGTTTTGCAATAAGTAGTATTGTGCAAGAGAAAATTTGTGACCTACAAAAAAGTTAATTCTTGTGCTTGCTATTATGTGAACACAAGGATCATCATACTGGATCAGAACAAAAACTCAACTGTAACTGGATTCATCCCGGGGGTAACCAATAATGCACTTTCAGAGGATGAAGACAGAGAGGAATGACAATCCCCACTTATTTTTTCTGCTAGCTGCAGCCCAGAGAGTCTCAGAGTCAGAAGTGCTATTTATGAACTTGGAAGCCTTGACAGATTTCTCTTTTTTGAGTTCACTTAATCTTCTAGCATCTACAATATCATTTATCATGTGCTCCTCACTTCAGTGAGATTCCTTACAAAATCATATCTACCCGTTTTGAACTTGTCATCTACTAGTTTTATTATTTTATTACAGAAGGTTACCTTAGATAATCAAGATGCAGTTTAAGATTATTAAATGCCTTACACAAGACACAAATACTGAAATTGACTCCACATTATTCCTCTTAAACATAGGAAAGATTTTTTTAAGCTTTATGTCCAGTTATTTTAGACTACTTCTTACTGCAAGCATGAAGCACCGAGTTCATATGTTTATAATTATTTTTTTTCCTCATATAAAACCTGCAACAGAAAAGCATATTCAAAACTCACTGACATTAGTTTACAAAATAATCTACTTGTAAGAACATGCAAGTGTTCATAGCATGTACATTCCCCTAGACAACGCATCAGGGAAAAACTTCAGTTATGGTGAAGTTAGCTATTTGTATACAAGTTAGCACCTGTCTGCAAACCCAAGTTGTACAGAGAAATTGAGATGAAGACTACAGCCATAGCTGTATTTATTAGTTGAAGAAAAAAATATCTGGCATGTTTTGCTAGTTATTTTTTAATTGATACCAACATTTGAGCTTTTTGGTCAAACTAAACACAAAGAATGTATGTCCTGCTATAGTTGGAAGTATGAAATAGTAAGTACTCAAAATACACATTCCACATTAGCAAAGAACAGTTGAGTTAACTGACTGAAAGTTTGTTGTGCAGCATCTTGCTTTCAGAGATTTGAAGGTGTACAAGCTGTCCAAAATAACAGTCCCTTTAAAGGACAGTGCCGAGATACCATGTGGTGTGCCATATACTATTAAGAGAGAAAAAGGGATTTTGAGGGAACAACTTAGCAAAAGAATGAAAACAGCAGAGGAGCCTTGAACATGGCTGAAAACTTGAGAATACTCAGTTATAAAAATAAACGTGTTAAGAAAACCACTTCATATATTTATAAAGGTGCAGAGAATAAGAACCATTTAAGTGATCAGAGGAAAATGATGACTTCAGACAAATGAATTTAACAGTAAAATCCAATATTAGAAGTTTTTAAACAAGTGCAACAGAAACCACAACACAAACAGGCTGAAAAGTTAGGCTGGAAAATATACTACAAATTACCTGCAGTGACAGAAAAAAACAAGACAAGATCTTAATAGCAATCCATAAAAATAAAGGCGGTAGCATGAAGTTCTTACCAGTATTACTCCTATGCTGTTAAGCTCTATAAGCTCCTGATTCACACTGCTTGTATTGGTCTGTAAAAGGCTAGATATTAATCTAATCACATTTAAACGTGTGTTTCCCACAGGTGGATCCAATACACCCCAGGTAGTCTTCATGAGACCCTTCTGAAAAAGAAAAAGGTACATACATAAAATCCATTAAAATATCTTAAAAAAACCCCAGCTCATTATTCCTATGCACAATGACAGAGTAGTGCTTAAAAATACACACAATCAGTCCTTGAGCAACAGTCTTACCTTCACTCTGCAAAAAAGCAATTTTTAGTGATGAATACTATAGATTATTTATTTTAACTCCATAGACAGGAAGCACTAAAAACAGTCACATGAAACCAATGACATTGTTAACTACAGACAGGATCTCAAAGTAGATGCACTCTACCCAACCTTGAAAGGAATCAGGAAATTCCTTTCCAAGAAATGCTTAATATACTGGTTTAATCCATGTACAGCTATAGTCTACATTGCCACAATATACACAGAACAGCTAAGTGGACAGTCTCTAAATATATGATAATGCCTCAACAACCCTAACTTCATATACGAGAAAACAATTTCATTAAGCAACAAGCTTCTCTGGTGTTTTATTCTAATGTTATACACAAAACAAGCTCCATCTCTAGTCTTTGAAGGAGTTACTTCCAACACAGCAAGAATCTCTTTCCATGCACTAATGGGTCCTTGTATTATAATCATAAGCTTCATAGTTCTTACATTGACATTTTAGCTGGTTAACAAACCAGAATTATTGTCATGTAACTAAGTGCCAGCCATTAAGAAGAATCTGGTGTTAGCTGGTAAGAGCTTAAAGATCTAATAGCAAATATGCAATGAGCAGGGGAATTCATAACGAAAACGTCTTCCTATCTTAAGGCACAAACACATTTTGACAAGACCACTACTGCCTTCTGTAACACTGGATGTCATTTTTGCCTGACCAGTGCCACCCTTGCATCAGAAAAAGAGATGCCTGACAACCTGCTAGTTCATTTAGTCCATTCCTTACATAAAGCAAAAATCTAAGAATGATCATTTAACTAATGCTCAAAATGAGCAACAGATTCAATAACTTCACTAAATGACTTATTCAAATACTAAGTATGTCTGACCATGAGAAAATACTCAAGTATCTTATGTGACTCTGCTTTTACTGTAATATAGACCTGTATCTTGCCATATTCTTGCGATAAAGATAAGACCGTTTCTTTGCATTTTATTACCTCTTCCATATTTGGAAATCCTGAGGTCTCATCTTCTCCAGGCTAAAATAAACTTTAATACTACCTTGACAGCCCCTGCCCCCCCTGGTATTTTATACACCTCTGGTCTTTACTTCATTTTGGCCCATAGGTTCTTCTCTCTTACAGATTGTGGTTCCCAGTTCAGGGTACAGTGCTCCAGCTAAAATTCTGCCAGTGAAAATTTGAGTGGAAAAATATAAATGGATCATAGGTAAGCCCTCTATTTATACATCTTGTATTTATCTTTTACAATAGCACGACATAGATAATGTTGCTTAAATCAATTAAAGCGCCCAAAGAATTTAATATGCCTAGAGTGCAGGGTCCATGCCATGGAGCTGGTCTACTCGGGTCCTGGGCCAGTCTAGAGGAATTGTGCTGGCCTCACGTGGGCCATGCCAAAGTTCCAAACAACTGAAGCATCCATAGTCTGTTTCCTATCCAGATAGGATTTCCAAGCAGAAAACAGGACCCACCTTGAGAATATATAGCAAATCTCTTTTCATTGCTTTCAGAAAGAAGTAATTGCTTCAAGACTATTCTGCCAATTAAAGTTTAAGCTGGAAAAACATACCAATTCTCACAACACATTGGCTCAGGGACAATAATAATGAACAGTAAAGCTCACAATAGGCTGAGAAAGAGCCTGGGTACTTGCCCGAAAGCTGTCAAACTGAGTTTTGTTAGTTATTACAACCTGCCTAAAACACAGTCAGACAGTGACAGTCTTGTTTAAATTGATTTGGTAACACAAGGTTTCACTTACTTTTGGAGGCTCAAGTAGGAGTTCATGGAAGGATGAAAGTCGTGCTTTTATGGCTTCTAAAACACTTTTATTGACTGAATATGTTGAATTGCTCATTCCTGGAGAACAGATCTCTATATGGCCTTCAAATCTAAAACACAAGGAAAATCTGATGATTAATATCAAAACTATTTGTAAAACATCTTTAAGGTATGATTTTGAGAGTGTCAGGGTTCTGAAGGCATGTGAAAAAAAAGACTGAAAAGGCAAGTAAAAACATAAGGTTACAAATATAAATTAAGTGTGAAGGAATGGTTGAACAAGACTTTTCCAAATGCTAGCTCTAGTGTTTTTGGTTTATTGTGCTTGAAATCTCCAATATGGTTTTGAGATTAAACATTATAGCTGTTGTATTTCCTCTTTCAGGCAGATAAAGAAGTTCATTCATCTATCCTGAACAACTTAAGTTGAATGTACCACAGAGATCTATTATAACTTCTCAAAGTGAAGTTATAATAAAATTCCATATAACTTTTTAAAAAGTCAATACCCACTCACTGCATTGTACATATATACCCTATCCCTTGTATCCAGAAACAAATTGATGAAATATACTCGTCTGATCTGTCAGGGGGCACTTAAACTAGATTCCAGAAAAAACTGCAAAAAGACCAGTCATTTGGTTGAAGCGTAGTAATGCCAACCACAATCTTTTTTGCTCTTTTACTTCTTCAGCTACAGCAGGTCAAAAAAATGGCTCAGTCGTAAGTACATGGAAGACACTTGCTATTGCTGAACAGTAGTTAAATTACGCAGGCATAATTTAAGCGAAATAAGAACACTTACGTCTGTCGCCTTGTCTCAAGTAAGGTCAATAGTATTTGGATTGCACTGACTATTGCAGATTCATTTTTTTCTTTATGAAAAATATTAGACAGCAGCTGCTCTATAATTTCTTGTCTGAAAAGAAAAGCATTGGCATCAGATAGAATGCTATTTCAGAATACAGCTGTTAACAGAAGTAGCTACCATTTTCCCACATAAAATAAGGGGATAATACAAAGAAAACCAGTAGCTATTTCAGGCTAGTAGGTACCACTAGGGCAATCACTCTCGTCCTCACTGCCCCAATCATATTTTCCTATTCCTTACATTGCTCTAGTTTTATGATCTGACAACTGACACTACAAGAAGGAAGTTTTCAGTCAGATCAAAAACCTGATCTTGACAACCACGAGCAACCACACAGCTTGCCGTAACAGCCACACAAACCTAAACCTATAACTAGCAAAAGGAAGAAGGGAATACAGGAGAATCTCCTCTGGCAGAAACACACGCTTAGATTAACTTAAAACAAATAACAGATCAAAACCAAAGTCTCCCATGTGTACTCTGCGCAGTATCAAGCTGCCCTCCACACATCTGATCCCACTAACCTTGGCAGTGCAGAAAATATTTTAATGAGACATGCCCCCTTCCCGCCCCAAGGAAGTTCATCAGGTGGACTCTGCTTACTTGCAGAGTTATTTTAAATTACAGAGACAGATGACAGATAGCCAAGAAAATTCACCTGAAAAGTGAAGCTTGACATTTCTAAAGGTTTTCAAGGTCAAAAGTTAAAAACTTTTTTTTTTTAATGAACTGAAAATAAAATCAGAAATTCAGCAAACCAACTTACTTCTCCAGACTTGCAAGTAGTGGATCTGGTTCTGAACTGTTCTGTACTTGTAACATCTGATCTCTGCTTAGACGAATAATTTCACAGAGTGACTGTGATGCATTTGAATGCCTCTGGAACAGAAAACCATAGCTTTTTACTGTAAGAGTAATAACATGCTGGGGGGATTGAAGAAGGGGGAGACAAAATAGAGGGGGAACCACACCCCCTATCCTTAAATGACCACACTTAAATACTGAAATGTAATTACTGAAAAAAGCTAGCAGAAATCAGTAAAAATCAAAGTCCTAACTCTACGTTGTACAGCAACTTGCTGAACAGATAGACCCAGAAGAGTATCAAATCAATACTTACATCTTCATCTTGAGATGGATGTACAATTTCCACAAGCCGCTGGATAATTCTCTCCTCATTTAGCCACTGTAAAAGTGTTTGTAGGTGTTACTAAGAATGCTATCCAAGTAAATGCATTAAATGAATTAGAATTAATGAAATTAAAAGAAGTCATTTGACAATTGCCACAAGTTATACTGTCGATATTTCTAAAGGACTAACAATACTTCAGAAAAAAGGAAAAAAGTAAATAGGTGTTTCTGAGCAACTGTAAAAAGAAAGCCTTACGTATAATTTTAAAATAAACCTTCTGACGCCAAAAAAGTGTTCAGTAAGGTCCAAAACATTTTAAAAATTCCATCTAGCAGTTACAAGTTTGAAGTCCAAGGAAGAGACCAGCCACTCAGGTTAAGTTGCCCCACCAGCTCTGTGGCTCTGCTGGAAATATATTGCCAGCTCCAACCAAAAAAAAACCCCACACCTAATTTCAGCACATTTAAGAAATAAACTTCGTAAAACCAGCAGAAGATAAGCCATCTTACAGTTCACATACATCAGACAAAAATCCTCTGAGACATTTTACTTACATTTAACACTTCTTGCCGGGGCTGTGGAGGTTCTATGCAAGTCAGTAGCCTCAGCAACAAGTCCATGATAGCAGAGGTCCCTATGTGCTTAATAATGAGGTCTACAAAATCATGCTTTCGCTTCAAAAAATCCACAATCTAGAAATCAAAAAGCTTACATTTGCTTATCTGTATTTTACATAGTAAGTTACACCAACCAGTTCTAGTTTCTCCTCTACCAAATGGAGAAAATAAATGAACTTCTTAAACACTTTTGTCACTTAAAGCTTGCAGTACAAGGCAAGATAAAATAATACACACTTAAAGAATAGCAGAAGTGGCACAGGACAGACCCATACTATGCACAGTGTGTCCTGGGCCTCCTCTCAAGCCCAACTTGCTGTCCATAAGCTACTTATAATCCAATGCACAGTCAGCTTTCCTCTTTGGTATGAATTACTCTCCTCCCTGCTTAATGAGCAAAGCTCGACACAGCAAACCCTTAACATAACACAAATACAGAGCTTGCTAAATTAAAGATACAGAACAGAGTCACAAACTTAATTTGCTTAGGTGAGAGCGCCAGTCATTGCAGCTGTTTGCAGTACTGGGCCACATGAACAGAGAGTACAACAACATTTCTGAAGAAGGACTCCAAATGTTTCTCACCTTGTTCTAGAACAATTCTTCACACCAAATTGGACCCGCTCCCACTGACTCAGTCCGCTTGCTTTCACCTCTAACAGCAATTAATGCAAATATCACTATAAAATACTGAGCTAAGCTAAGCACTCATACGCTGATTGCACAAATAGCTGAGGCAAATCTGAATCAAATATATCTTACTCATCCAGATATACTTTTTTAATCCTTTAATAAAAAAAGTTAGTATCTTCAGCTAGTATGGAAGTTGAATGCTCTGTTTTGACTCGGCTGCTATCCCTCAAACGTGTACTCTTGAAACAGCATTGCCGAGTATTACAACTTTATTAGAACATTTGATAAATTGGAGAGCTTGTAAATATTTACCTGTTCTGGTTTTCTGCTTATTAGAATACTTAGCACCTTGCTGAAGAAACTGGCCAGTAAAGGGTTTAGAGGAGATTCATTTAAAAGGAAGCTGTACAATTTCATAAGTAAGCATTCTTCTTCTCCCAGCCTGTCATTGATCTGTGAGACATCTGATGTAAGCAGCTCACACGATATGTTTGGATATCTGGGGAGAAGTAAAAAAAAAAATTATCCATCACTCATACTTCAAAAGTTGTCATACTTCCAGATCTGAACCCAGAACTTGGTAAGGCTTCTGACCAAGTTTTCAAGCAAGGCTGGTCTGCATTAATTAAAGCAGCAAACTACCGCAAGGTTACATAGCTGCACATTCAGCCTACAAGCTCTGTTCTTTCATTTAAGAAATGGACTCCTCTTCTTCAGTAGCAATAGGACAACACTAGGGAAGTGGGGAAAGGAAAGGGCAAGCTTTTATTTTAAGATATATTGTTAAATCCATCTGTTCAAATACTGATATCTAATTTCAGAAGACACTTTTTTTTTTTGAAGGGAAAAATGTTAGTTACCAAGAAGTTAAGCAGACTGATAGTACTGGACCGATGCTGAGGAGGGAGCAGTGTGTTTGCCCTTTTCTAATAAAACAGAGATTATATTTAAAAGGTCAAAAGGAATAGCTTCAGGATTTTTTTTTTTATATATACATATGTAAAAATTATGTAAAAACTCAGTACACTGACAAAGCCTCTAAAACTAGCTAGTACTGCTTTATGAAAGTCAGAAGTACAGTTCAGAACATTGGCTGTAAAGACCAGCAATTTCCTGCATTTGACAGTATTATCACCCATTCACATTGAAGGTAATTATGACAGCATTAGCAGCTTAAGTTTTCTAAGTGAGAGATGCTTGAATTCCAAACTCTACTAGAAACACTTACAGGAGGCTTGGTTTAGCAGAAATGGTGGAGTGCTGCAACTAAACGTGTAGTTTAGTTCACATATTTTTTTACATACCGTTTTAAGAAAAAAGCAGCTTTCTGCACAGACAACAATCAAATAGGCCAAAAGTGGCAGAAGTGCTTTTATACAAATTGCTAGGTTGACTTTTGAGTTTGAATCTTCTCAGCAAACTAGCTGAAGTCACAGCTATACCCAATTCTTACAGTTCTAGCTCTGCAAAGAAAACATCAGCAATTGGATATTAAGAACATTCTTCCAAGGAGTGCTACAGACCTTCTAATAAGCATCGTCAAAAATCTTACCAATCATTGATAAAACAAAGCTTAGCTTTGGTAAGCTAAATAAATAGGGTTTTTCATTCAACTATTTTCTTAATAATCACAGCTACAAGATTCTTCATGAGTTCTGATTTTTTTTTTTTTGCAAGCCTCCTTAACCATAAATGCCTCCAAAACCAATTGCTGTCCTAAGAGGCTTCCATTTGAAAAATATGCAAACATCAGAATGATTTATTTAAAAGTTCTACAAAGCCCCTTGAAAACAAACTTACTCTAAAGATACCAGTATTGTACTACACATCAGCACACAGTGACTCAAAACACACTGTCAAATTAACTGGAGTAAGTTATCCCTCTTCCCACTTTCCCAAGTCTCCCCCACCCCTAAAAGTTTTCCTACTTATATCGAATTTTTTCATCCATGTCTTGAGGTGGCTCTTCGATAATAAATGAAACTAAATCTTCCAAACATTCTGACTTCAGCAGAAACTCTATAAGTTTGCGATTCTGAGCCTTGCACTCTTGCAGGACATCCTCTTCATCCATCAATTCCTTCAGTGTTACATCTTCCCTCTCTAGAAGTGTATCTATGTGGGATGACGAATGGAGATCAAATTTCCAAAACATGCTGGTCTGGATAAGAAGAATATACACAGAACATTAAGTTTACAAATCTATTTAAGCAGTATTTGTACTAACACTTCATAGGAGTATTTCATAGCTTCTAGCCCCAAAGGTACCTGTATGCATAGAAACTTTCTAGAACTTGAATGAGACACAACAGTAGATGCTGATAATCAAAAGCTACAAATTCAGGCTTGATTAAGTATGACTGAATACTCCATAGTAGTTTTTGTAGCATTAGCAATAGCCAATATTCTAACATCCAAAGGTAAAGTTAGGCAGCTCCAGGGTTTTACTTACATGATAGAAACATGCTAATCTGCATTAAGGAAAAAATGTGTAACTTCACTTTTCAATTTATTGAATTTGCTCTTCCCAACCTTTGTTTTTAATTTATGCACCAAGTCTCATATTCAGAACAAGCTGCTCAGCAATTAATAGAGCTGGGAAAAGATAAAACGAGCACTGCATAAACACACCAGAGTACCACTGCTACCATTGAACATAACGCCTATAAAGGTGGAGGGATTATAATAATTTTAATTTACAGGCAGCACACATCAAAGTGCTGGAACTAATTTCAACACAGGATTACTCTCTTCACTGTACCTCCCTCCACAAACTTGACACAGTAGGAAGAACAAGGGACAATAAAATATCTTATGCAAAGACATGAAAGGGCAGTGGCCCCAACCACTGAAACACTGTAAAAGGCCGTAACAGAAATGTATAAGGATGAGCAACTTAAACTTTCCTTATAAAATGCTTTGGCACCTCCATGTTGTTTGTGTTGCTCTAAGACACCTTGCAAGCAGTTCCTACTAAGACAACTGTGCTATCAGAATACAGTATTTCAGTCTATGATAGATCCAATAAACTCCTGCTTTTACTTCTCACTAAGTTCAATATAAGCATCCATTCCATTCCCCACTCTCCAAATCAGGGCTTTTACATTACATTTAGCCTCTGACACACTGTCAGATGGTCTTAGGTGAATGCAGAATTTAAATGGATTGAAAGAGATACTACAGATACCAGAGAACAGTAAGGGAAACTTTTCTTTCCTTACAATTGGAAGCAGTATGGTTTTGAGCAGTACTCATTTAAATAAGGAAAGAAACACTCCTTTTGCTCCTTTAGTAACTTGCCTTCCAAGTGTGAAGGATTAATTCAAAATGTTAATTCTTGCTGTGCATTAGTGACATCATCAGCTGTGAGAACATATAGTTACTGCAGAGAATGTAGGTGAACAGTACTATTTTAGCGAGAACACGTCTGTCAGCTGCAGGTTCTATGTAGGAGCAAGCTTAAAGACAATAATCAAACTATGCTTTTGTCATACACTCTTATAAAAACCTACAAAAACTAAAATATAAGTACCTAATTCTTAGGCAAACAAAGAGGTAGACAGTTTTAAGCATTTATTTCCAAGTTAAAATGGACTCAGCATGCACATTACAGCTACTTATTAACAGTGAAGTATCAAATTTAGTGTTTCAGCAGTTTAGAAAACAGACACAAGTCCAAGGATCCAGCAAAAACCTTACAACTCTTTTCATTAGCAAGACTTCCAGTATTTGGCCTAAATATTAAAAAGCCTCCATACTCAGTATGGAGAAGTTTTAATAGCTTTCAGGGTTTTCATTGTTGCTTTAACGATTGCACGCTGATCACTTAATACCACCTCACTTTGCTTAGCCTTTTGTTAGAAGTTGTAAACATACATAACTGCCCCTAGATTACATATCTTTCTGTTTAAAGATATGAGAGTCAAGCAAAAGCAACCAGGAAAAGGTACAGATAATTTCAATTGCAGTATCAGTACTTAGAAACATCTGAAATCCCATGCATGGATTAAGTTGTTAAAAAACAGAAAAAAAATATTTTCTATTAAAAATATTAGTAAACTTACAAGCAGGGTTCAAAACACCTGATCTCACAAATTAGCTTAAATCAAATTATACAAACTTGTTATTAAAAACACTAGCTTGTGGGCATTCAGGCTACACACAGACTTACTGTAAGCAAGTGAAACTACTGCATTATTAAAGTCCCAGGATTTTTACATTTTTTTTTAAGCCTCTAGAAAATAGATCAAATCCCTCCCCTTGCCCTAATTAGTGAAAGTAGCAGCTTTGGAAGTAACCACTATCTATGCTAATTCCAGATGTAAATCCCTCTGCAGTGATTAAAGCTCATTTTAGTAGATAGATTCAGTGTATTTCTCAGTTACTTATTTCAACAGAAATTCAACAACAGAAAATAGCAACAAAAAAAGAGGCATACTACTGCAAACATGTTACTGTGTTATTTCACAAACTGTCTCCCAGGCAAACTCTTTTAGGGGGTGCTCCCTCAACATGTCAGGTGCCAGCCAGAGATTATTCCATCACTTTTCAACAGGAGCCCAGGTCCTTTGAAATAAGGAAAAATAAACAACATAAAATGTGCCACAGAGGAAGTCCAGGAACCCTGAAGAGAAGAGAATTTTCTTAGGCATTATCACTGGTGATAATCTAGAATCAGCCTATCATAGCTCTGAATGGAAGTTTTAAAAACAAAAGGTTATTGTTATTCTTCCCACAGCCTACTGTTCTACCCTCCCTCCCAAAACTTACCAATTCTGAAATTTTGAATTATCTTCATGCTTTTTCAAATTTCAGTCCCATTAACAGAGTCACAATTAGGCCTTACGTCCACAAATGAGGAATGTTGCTCCCAAAATTTCACTATCTGCAAATTTACAATAAACTCCATAGGTCAATTGGGGTGTGTTACTCCCAATGTTCAACTTCATCGCCAGTATGAGCAGAAAAATCCCAACATTTGGATTTAATGCAAGATGCAAGAATACCAAATACGAGACATGCTCAAGATTAGATACTACAAGCAAAATAATCCAGGGTAATACTAAAAACTCTCAGATGTGGAAAGAAAAATCGTGTTAAAGATGGTAAAGCTGCTGCAGATATTTGACTGTCTTTTGTAACTTGAGTTAGCTTTCCATTAATCTCTGAAAGTTCCCAGCAAACAAGACTAACAGACTTCCAATTCATGTAAACAGTACTTCTGAAAGGTTACATCAACTTGCTGATGTACAAGTGATGACAGTTCAAGATCCTAAGGAACACCTTGCATTCAGAAAAATATTGCTTTGTTTTCTTGGCTAATATTGTTAACAGATTCTTCTCTGAATACTACATGGAATGTTATTTCAGCATTCAAACACTTGACTTAAATCCAAAAGGAAAGCAAGCAGTTCACCAAAACGAAGAAAAAAGCCTGCCAGCTGCTCTGAGACACAGGTAACAAATTCTCACTTGAATTGTTTGCTAAAGAAATAAAGCTTAGAAGCGATCCTTTCATATCAGAAAAAAAAATTGAAGTCTTCTGCCTACTACAGCTAAAGAAAACCACACTGTGTATTTTGTTTAATCCATTGCCTTCTAAAAACCAAATAGGTAGATAGGTTTGGTGAAGGACAAAGTAATAATAAATTCTTATGCTTTTATCATTAAAAGAGATTTTACCAACATTTTGAAGACCTTTAAATACATTAAGTGATTTCTTTAAATGCTAAACATGCCGTTCTGCCAGCTTCACATAACCTCAACCAGTTAGTCCCTATATTTAATTAGTTTCCATGTTTCATTTTTCTCCTTTCTCCAGACGACGAAGAGTAATTAGACACCACACTAGCACTTATCAAGTGCTTATTTTGACACTGGAAATGGACCACCTGTTCAAAACAAAAGCTAAGCACAAGTGCATGTCTCCAAAAAAAATTTTAGAGATAAAGAGAATTACCAATCACGCAAACTGACAGAGAAGACACTCTAGTGGCTACTTTTTAAACTGCCTATTTCACTCACTCAGAGCACCACCCATTGTAAACCTGCTGTCTACAACTGCCTGTCCTTTGCAGGCTGGGGCACAATTCCTCAAAAGCATTAAATATCCAAAGACCTATTAAGTGGGAAAATTAAGGACTTATGCATTTAGCCTGGAATCAAGGGCAATTTGAACAAAATAATATGAAAAACAAGACACTTGCATTCTAGCTTGAAGCTCTGGACCAAAACAGTTATTTTCCGTAAAGTCATGGTAATTTATAGCAATACAGAGTTATACCATAACTGAACTCCCCACTTTTTCCCCTTGATGAATGCAAGAAAGAATCTCTCATATACAGCAACACATTTAAATTGCTGCTTCTGCATTGAGAGTTCAGGGGCAAAATAAGGAATTTTTTATCTTCTATCCCATTAAAATAGTATGGTTTTTAAGTAGTATAAAAACTCTGCTCTTAACTATCCTTCAGTTTCATTTCTAAATGCTTCAAATAATATAATAGAGACCACACTTAATCAATAACCTATTTGAAAACTGATTTATTTTCAATTAAAGCAGCGAGGTTTGTTGCATTATTACCTAGAAACATATAAGTTACTGTTCCAAGCCTCTAGATTTAACTACATTACTTTACATACCGCAATCACAAATAGAAAATAAAAGCAGTAATACAGGCAAGTGTTTATGGTACAGTTTCCACAGTTTTTATGGTACAGTTTCTTAAAAAAAATGTAAAATCAATTTCACATAGAATAATAATCTCATGTGAACACAAAGTAAGATGTAGCAGTCTCTTCAGTGTCAGAACAGCCTGCTCAGGCCACAAATGTAAGCCGTAATGGAAATTAATTTTTGATAAATACTCCATTATTTACACTAACAATTAGACTTCTATGATTATAAGCTAGTGAAGTTTCAAAGAAATTTTGTGGAGGAAGCCAAGTAGATGGTTTGAAATTAAAAGGAATGAAATAGAATACAAAATACAAGCACCTTTACCTCAACAATTCAACACATATTACACCTGTTTCAAATGCTGTGCATAGTCGTAGTCCTCCCATTTCCAAAAGGAGATCGCAATCAAGAAAAGATACTAAAAGGGAAGCAAAACCAATCAACGATTCTTTTACAGAGTGCTGTGAGACCTTGTGCAGGCTGGCT